ATATATATATATATATATATATATATATATATATATATATATGGCCTGACAAGTGTGTTTAAGCATGAAACAAACTGTGACCATACAGTACTGATACCCTTGTCTCATATTGCTTATATTTACATACATTCTGTCTTTGATAGTGAATATTTTTCTTCTGCAAAAGATAAGATACCTTAAAAATATATATATAAATATATATATATATATATATATATATATATATATATATATATATATATAGGAAATAGATTAAATCTGACATATTGGTATTTTTAATTTATTTTTGTTTAAATGTTATTTTTGATGGATACTCATATTTTTTTTAAGGCAATTCACCCCAAGCAAGGCAGGAGTACCACTAGCATGCAAGGACTTAGAGAGGATTGAGAACAAGAGTAAAGAGGCGTGTTTGAGGAAACGATACAGAGAAGGATGGGGAACAGGATCAAGGTGTCAGAAGATGTCGATTGACATTACACTTGAATATTTGAAGATTATAGTCATCAGGGAAGCAAGCAAGGAGAAGGGAGTTCCACAGGCAGGAAGTGTGAGAGAAGAAGCTTTTTTGAATAGAAGAGACGATTACATTTAACCATTTTGACAGTGAAAGGGTAAGACCAAGATGCTAGCCTAGTAGCTCGCTTAAATTCATGCAGTCTGGTATCCTCAAAAGTAGAAGCTCTGTTTTTTAATTAAACAGTATTTTCTATCCAACTACATCTACTGGCCTGAATATTCAAGAAATCTTGTCAGAAAAATGTGTATCCTGACAGGATTTGAACCTGCGTGCCCTATGGGGAACCATCATTGGATCTGACGTGCCTAACCGCTTGGCCACATAGAAATTATAGTCAAACAAAGGGCACTATTCAGGCTTTATTTGACTGTAAGTCAAAAACAAAATTCTTGGATGAGACAGGATCTGATCAAGTTTTCATCCTAAAGTGATCAGTAACCTACTGTTTACTATCAGTTCTATCTTTGGAATTCCTGTGTTTTGGCCTCTGCTCAGTGTTCCAATAGATTACAGTTAATTTCAAATGCTTTCTTTCTTTTTATGTGCCATGTCCTTTCAGGAAGTAGGTGATCATGGCTCTCCACCTCCCTCTATCCCTTGCAGCTCTCAACAAGTTCCTTCTCTCTGCTTCCTCCCCCAGACCATGTTCTGTCATCCACTTGCTTAAGTTTGCCAGGTATGTCACACGTTGTTTTTCCTTGTCTCTCTTTCCTTCTGTTCGACCCGTGAGTATTAGATTCTCCAGGTGAAAATCTTACAGTAGGCATGGCACAAGAAAAAAAGTTGAACAGGGGAGGCGGATTTCAGATGTTATGTTTTAAAGATTCCCCGATTCTATATTTTTTTTACTGATCCTCTCAAAAAAATGAGCAATTTTTTTTTTATTTTAGATTTATTATTATCCTATTGTAAACATTTCTTTGTTTTCATTTTAATTACACAATTTTTTTCCCTATTCTTTAATATTTATTTTCAGGAATGAGACCTATAGATATTTTTGTAGATAAGAAGAGAAGAGCTTGTGGAGTGAAAATGGAAATAAACACCAAGATGATCAAATACCAAATGACAAAAAAACAAAACAAAATGGTTTCTGTCTCAGAGAATTGCACATTCTTCTGGTTAATAAATCAATACTTTGAAAATAAATATTTAATATTTTTCAACCAATGGGTCAAATTCTCGTCAACAATAAAAAAAAATGTTTTATGATCCCTTTGAAGAGTATTTAAGCAAAGTTTTTAGATGGACAAATCAGTAAGGAGAGACAGACAGCAAGTTTCATGATGCTCAGTTTAAAAGAAGTTCCCTTCCTCACCAAGCTATGTGACACACTTTCCTCCTCACTTTCACCCTTGCCTCTCCTTTTTCACATATACACACAAAGAAATCACCTTAAAAAACAACTACAAACAAGGACTCTAAAGAACTTCATTCATACACGCTAAGAAAAATTTAGTTATAAAACACACAAAAATAAAAATATCTTATATTTAAACATGTTTTTCTTTGTTGTGGATTAATTCAGATTCACAAAAGAAGCTGATGTTTCAAAAAAAAAAAAAAAAATGATTTTTTAGGCAAATGATACAGCTCTGCTCAATAGGTTTGTCATAGAGTGAGGCAAAACAGACAATTTAGAGTAAATTGCCTTTTTTTGCAACACTATGACAAGCTAAACAAGACTAAATTATATTTAGTCTTGATTAAATTAAATTTAGTCTTGCTTGCCTTTCTTTCAGTACCATCAAAAAATGAGGGGTATGACACCTCCATATCCCACTCTATAGTGCCATGAATATACAGTTTTAAAAAATACACTTGAAATATGAATGTTTGCACCATTTAAGAATCCTTTCTTGTTGTCAGTAATTAAAAGCATTTTTCTGCAACAGGTTATAATCTGGCAATGACTTGTAATATTTCTGGGTAAAGCAATAAAACACACAGACACACATAGTGGACTGATATGCGCTTCTAAATCGTCAACAGATTTTCCAAAAGCAAGACGGATTAATTGGTGAAGATTTAATTAATTTGATCATATTTAGATACTGACATATTTTTGTTTGTGGTAAACTAAACAGCTTCATCAATCAACTAGTTATATAAGTTAATAACTAATTTTAAAACTTAATTAATTTCATTACTTTACTCAACTCTTGAGTGTTGACTGATAATAAGTTTGAGGGTAGTTTTGTCTCAATCTTTTAAATTTTTAGCCAAACCTAACAAAAAGGAAAAGACCATGTTTGTGGTGGATATTGAACTCTTCCACTCTTGAGTTTGAAAGCAATATTTGGTGAGCTAAAAAATACACAGTACTTAATGACATCATCCAGCATCTACACAATAGCGACAATAGGGCATCCAATGAAGATCGAACTCGGTATTGTGAATAACAATGAGTGTTGAAAAAAAAAAGTGTTACTTAGTTAATTAAATGTTAATTTAATCACTAACAACATTCACTCAATAGCCCATCTCACCACATAAACTGAAATACGAATATTAGCATTTCCTCTTTCATTCAATTGAAACACCGAACATTTTTTTTAAAAAAAGTAAACTAAAAAACAAACATTGTTAATAAAAAGATTAAGTGCTGATTACCTTGTTAAAGTAGTTACAAAAAGATTAATCGTGTGCATTTAGTGCACACACATGCAGTTGCATTCATGCATGGGGTGTCTCGTTTCACATCTAAAAAATAAAATAACTCCTTTCACAGAATTTCACACCCACATGTACGAATGCACAGAGATGTTTGGTTTTAATCAGGTGTTTCAATCGAATGAAAACTGATATTCGTAAATTCATTTTATGCTGGGAGAGTGACTATTACTGGGTGAATGCTGAAAATGGTTAGCAACCATACTGAGTTCGATCTTCATTGGATGTCCTATTGACGTTTCTGTTTTTTTAGTTCATTTATGTTAGAGATGATGTCATTAAGTACTGTGTATTTAAGGACGAAATGGTTTCCTCCTCCAACCCGGCAAAAACAAAACAAAACAAACCAAGTTATATACAGATTATTACTACTTCCACATCGCCTACATAGAGGAAAGAAAAATGATTATCACTGCACCATCTGTTAATGCAGGATTTCAGTTTGTTTGTGTTTTTATATATAAAAAAAAAAATAATTGCGAATGAAAATCTTTTAAAAAATCTTAAGAAAAATCAAAAGAAAACGTTACCAAGAAAAACTTTATTGTTGTTTTAATTAATATTTTTTCGGGTTTTCGTACGTCTTTTTTTTTCTTTCACACACATACATAGAAAGAAACTGAAACTGGATTGCTAAGATTACTTTCTTTTCTATAAATAAAAAATAGAATAAAAAAAATTTTTTGCGGCATAAAAAAGCTGGTCTACGTGATCAAGTGTTACTGTGTTCCCATGAATAACAAAATTCCCATGTTATTTTTTTGAAAATGACTTTAGTTTAGTCATATATCTTTGAAAACTTTATCATCCGTTTGTTTTGAAAAATCAATTTCTTTTTCATGTTTGCGGGAAAATCGTGATTTTTTTTTTTATAAAAAGAAATTTTTGTCGATACTGATAAAAAAATGTAATATGAGTTTTAAACTTTGGTCAAAATAAAATAACGGTGTAAAAACTAAAAAGGAAAGGTTAAGGGCTTTTTTACAAACGGAATATCCCGAGAAATTTCTTTTTAACTCCAAGGAAAATTGTTTTGTATTTATTCAAAAACGTTTTTTTCTGTATAGTCAACAGTCAAGGATTAAAGTGGAGATTTTTCAAAGGTCATGCAGTTAGAGTTAAAAAACAAAAAACAAGTTACAAAAGTAACAAAACTGATAATTTCCCCAGCGATATAACACATTTGGGTGCGATAATCTCAAATTCAACATCAGATGAAAAAAAAAAATCACATGCCCTTTTACTTTTATTTTTGAAAAGCGAAACAAAAAAAAATGCTACCCCCCCAAAAAAAAAACAAAACAAATTCAAACATAAAAGCCATTATGTTTTATGATTATTCTTAGGCAGGGGAAAAGTCTTGAGAACAAATATTACATACAAACAATCCAATATACAATTATTCTTTTTTTTTTAAGGAAAAAAATAATTAATTTAAAAATTTCGTCTTTTTTTTTTTTGTAGCACTTGTCATGAGTATCATATTTTAATTAGTTTCTCTATTTTTACTACCTCGAGACGATACTGTTTCAGCTGCAGTTTTGATGATAATTAATCTTATAGAACGATAAAGTTCATAAAAATAAAACCAAGAGAAAAAAAAATCGCTTTTTCGTGATCATAGAAACATCTCCAATAAAAAAAAACAAAAAAAAACACATACACACACATAAAAAGTTCAGTGTCCTTAAAAGAAAAAAAAAAAAACAACACTACTAACCAGAAACAGTCTATTGAACTAACTTTAAAGATGTAGAGACTTATTTATTATACAGGTAATTCTGTGGATTAAACAATCACTTCTTACCTTTCGCTTCTAGAACAGTAATTCGTAAACTTTCATCTGTTTTATGAATGTAATATGCTGCCGACAAACCAGATAAACCAGCTCCTATGACCACTACATCGGCGGTCAGGGATTCCATCTTCCAGCCAGTACCTATCCGTCCCAACTGGAACTAAACTTCTGATCCAATCTTATCTTCCCCTTACCAAGACGTTTGAGGCATTTTTGTTTTGTTTTGTATACGGTTCTTTTCTTTTCTTCTTCTGTTAAGCGGAAAGGACAGTTGCTCGCATTGACTACAGTGGGAGAAACGGTATTGCTTTCGGCGTATGTGCAACTGTCTGTCAAGAAGTGTCACTAGCTAGTTTGTTGCACTTAATTCCATCATTAATCTACGTACGTGTGTTGTGTGTGTATTATATTTTGTTTGTGTAATGAGTGTAGGTAAATCTATAAGAGTATGTGCATAAACTAACAAAAAGTGTGCGTAATTATGAAAAAGAAAAAATTTCAGAGCTTATTTTTTAGTGGAAAAAAAAAAGAACGTGGTGGGGAGTGGATTTGAAGAGGAAAGAGAGAAAAACAATAGAGGGGACATTAAGGGGAACTTATCAATATTGTGATCTGAGTTTTTTTTTATCATGTGTGTGTACTGTACACGCACACGACTTCATCAGTGCTTGTCCTTGATAGTCCTTCTTACCTAGGTTTGAACATGTGTCAAGTCTCTACAGTACACTTTTGAAAGAAGAGGAAAAAAATCTTTTTCCTCTTTCTTTCTTTCTTTCTTTCTTCCCCGACAAATCTATGGACATAACGAACAACTTTAACTCCTTCCCAGCTTTAGATCAACCGGTTCACGTTTTCATGTCTAAACCGAAACGTCAACACGCACGCACCCATCACACAGTTGAATGCAGACATAACCTTCAATGTGCGTGTAAATATTTTAAATTAAAACTACTTACATCGAACTTTGTTGCAATAAAAAACATTAATTTCTTATTTCATATGTATTATTAAACTAAAAAAAATCTAAAAAAGGTACCTTTTTGTTTTGAAAACAAAAGGAAAAGTTTTTCTTTTGTTTAAAAAAAACTTCGCCTTTTATGTCCTAAAAGAAAACTACTTGTAACTTAAATTATTTCCATGATAATGAGATGCATTTTTATTTTAGTGATGTTCGTTGCTACAAGGCCGTAAAAATAAATAAATAAATAAATAAAAGAAACTGAATGAAAGAAAGCATTTTTCACTGACTAAATCATTAGTTGGGTAAAAAAAATTGAACGATGAGGAATTTGAGAGCATATCAAAGAAGAAAGTAGTTAGTATTTGTGATTTTTACTTGTAAAAACCTTAGATGTTATTGTTGCAATTTAATTTAACTTTGAAGTAAAAAAAAAAAAACAACCAGATATAAATTATAAAATACACCTAAGTATTTTAATTTTGCTTCTTACAGAATAAATTTAATTTATTCCTTTACTTTTTTGAATAAAATGCTAAAAAGAGCTCCAAGAAAGATTTTTTTATTTTTATTAGAGATTTTAGAAAGCAAACCTTTTAGGTAGGTATCGCGAATCTGTGAACATCCCTTTTTTTTTAACTTTTGTAAAATCCGAAATAAATCAATAAATAAATTAAATTACATCTTTGTTCACATTTTGTATTTGAAAGAAAAGTTATATGCAGTAGATTTCTAGGTACGAAATATTTGAAGAGAAAAAAATAAAGAACATTTTAGTTTAGTAGTTAGTCGTTTTCTTGTCATTCAATCGAGCTTTTGTGTGAGCAATGAAAGTTTTTAATATTTTAGGTATCTTCTTGCACACATAGCAATCATTTTATTAGGTGTCTTCTTGCACAAATGTTATTAATCATTTTTTAGGCGTCTTCTCTTGCACACGTAGCAATCATTATGTGTCGCGTTCTTCGTCCCTGATTAAAAAGTTTGTTGCTTGTTTTGTTATATTATTTTTAATTCAGCCTCATCACTTTTTTGCAGGCATTTTTTCACAAAAAATATCATCAATAAAATTAGCAAGAAAAAAAATCAAAACATATGTTTTTTAACTTTAAATTTAAGGTGTAATAATTTGCAGTTCATGACCTGCGCTTAGTTTGTAATAAAAATTTCCCGAATAATAGTTACATTTTTAGGTGTAAATGTACATAACTCCAAAACAGTAGATTTTATCAAAATTTCTTTATTTTCGAATTAAGCATGTACATTTAATTTTAATTTTACACCTGTAACTATTCGGGAAATTTTTATTACAAACTGAGCTTGGACCCTGAATTGTAATTTAAGTTTTCTTTTAAAAGTAAAGTTTTTTCTGGAATTTCACAATATTGTTTTTTTTTTTTTTTTTTAATTATTTGTTGTTGCTGGTTAGTAGTTAAGTAATCTGTAGAAATTTAAAAATGAATTTCCAAATTAAATTAACTAGTTAGGAAAAGCATTTGTTATTTTATGGCGCCTTTCATTTGATTTTGAGGGAAAAATGTTAACATTTTTTTTTTTACCGATAAGATTAGGTAAAAATGAAAAATAAAAAATAAATGAAATATATATTTAAAAAGTAATATAAATAAATTTTAAAATAAACGAAATAAAATAAAAACAAAAATAAATAAATGAAATGATATAAAATAAAGAACAAATTAAAAATAAATGAAATAAAAATACATTAAAAATAAAATTAATTCCAAAATAAGCTAATAAATGAAGTAAAATAAAATAAATTAAAAATAACTGAAATAAAATAAAAAATGTTAAAAATAAATGAAATAGAATAAAAATAAATTTTTAATATAAATGGAATAAAATTTAAAAAATAAATAAAATAAAAATAAATTTAAAAACTGAAATAATGACTAAAATTATTATCACTTTTTTTTTGCCACTTGACACTTTTGAGGGATTTCATCTCCTAAACTGTAACTGACTTGTTTATCAAATAACAATATTAAATCCATACAAATCATCTATAGTTAGAAATTATCACAGTGTAATTGTTAGCAAGATGGTCCTACAAACCATTGTTGTGTTCTGTATGATGACAAAGTTGGAATAGTCTAAAAAATCTTACATTTACTATCATCATAATACTTTTAGCTTAGTTGGGACACCCAATAAGGATAGAACTCCCAACTCAGTTGTAAGTCAACCAAACTCAATTACTAACTGTGCTACCTGTTATAATCCTTCTGTTGATTAAAATAGAATTTTAGAATATTAATGCTTTAAAAACAGGTACTAATTGGTTATCACATCTTGCTCTTCAACCCTTAGTCAAGGACAAAACATCTAAATATGTACACAATAAACAAAACAAAAGAGAGAAAAAATAATACCAGAGAATCAATTTTAATATTAACTAATCTACGTTGATCTGGAATTGTCATCAGTGGTCAAATGAACTTGTTTTGTTTCAATAAATTTACTAATCTACTTATCAAAATAAGAGAACAATATTAAGAGTAAATTTTATTATTATTATTATTATTATTATTATCATGATTATTATAAGAGAACAATATTAAGAGTAAATTTTATTATTATTATTATTATTATTATCATGATTATTATTGTTGTTGCTGTTTAGAATTGAAGGCTTTGGGCATTTTTTTCTTTTGCATTGGTAAAAGGTTTATTTGCTACCCTACAAAGTGACAAAGTGCAATATATGACTGTAACCCTAACCTTGATATGGCATGTAATATAAAGTTGTATTTTATGGGAGATCATCTAGAAATTGTCAAGTTCTCTTCACAATTGCTGTAGCCAACACTCTTCATCATTGGGGAGATTAAGTTTGGAAAATAGATTTCTAGTCACATGGCTTCAGTTAATTATTGGTCTTTAAACTGAAAAATAAAGTTTTGTTTCTGTAGAAATTACAGTTCTGAAGCATTAGATTGAATGTTTTCATTCACTTTATTTTTTTTTAATCATTTCATTCCATGCAAGACAGTGAAGCCACAAAGAGACAAGGGGTTACTGAGTGCGAAAGAATCAGAAAAAAGACAAACATTAAGGATCAAGAACAACAGAAGAGTAAATCAAGAAGACAGTAGATAATGATTGACACTGCATTTAAATTTTTGAAGATCAAAATTGGCTGGAAAGCATGGAACCAAAAGAGATTTCCACAAGTGAGAAAAGAAATTGTTAGCATAGACATTATGGTTACATTAAGACATTTCAATTGTAAAATGATGAGATCTTGCCACCAATCTAGTACTGCACTTAAATTCATAAAGTCTAGATATCATGATGGAGAGTTCATCTGAACAATTACCATGAAAGTATTTATAGAAAAGGCATGGGGAAGTTACATTATAGTAATGGGAAAGTGACTGAAGCTAAGATGCCAGGTCAGGACCAATAATATTGCTGATTCTTCTTTGGATTTTATCATGAATTTCTACATATATAGCAGGAGCACCGGACCATATCTGATAGCAATATTCAAAGCATAGATGAATGGTAGACTTATAAATATGTAAGAGAAATTCTGGAGAGAAAATTGTCTTCTTAACTGCAGAGCTAGCAATGGGTTCAATATAATCATTTCACTTCATGTCAACTGAGAATGTTACTCTACTGGAGGTCAGCATCAGCCATGTTGATGGAAGGCAGAAAGGGGTCTTTCAGATGATTAATAGAGAAGTTTCATTTTGGAGTCATTAAAATTAACAAGCCATTCCTTGCCCCAGTTAACAGCAGAATGTAGGTCATTTTTTAGATCAGCTGCCAATCTGATTTTAGTTTGACCTTATCAAAATGATTAGACTTACTAATTGTTGATCATCAGTATAGATACTAAGTTGATTTGGATGTGGATTTGGTGCTAACCAGTACACTCTTAAAAAATTTTGAAGTGCCTCTTCATTTAATTTGTCCAGACTTGCTTTTTTCAAGACTCTTTTGAACATTTGCACAAACCATTCCACTTGTCCATTAGACATTGGATGATATGGTGGAGTTATAATATGTTCTATAGAGAACAACTTGCAAAACTCTTGAAATTCTTTTCCAGTAAATTGTGTTCCATTATCCAATACTATGGTATCTGGAATGCCATATCTCACAAATAGTTCATGCAAGAAATTCTTTGTCACTGAGGGTGT